AGGTGGCAAGAGCATAAAATGCGCCCTTGCTGGTTTGGCTCAGAGGTTAGAGCATCAGCCTGTGATCCAGAGAGACCCAGGTTCGGGTCCTGCTAAGGGCACGTACTTTGGCTGCAGTTTGTCCCTGGCCCTGGTTGGTCGTGCGGGTGGCAGCTACTCGATGTGTCCCTTTCACATTGATGTTTCTCTCTCTCTCTCCCTCCCATTCTATCTGAACAAAAAATGGAAAAATGTCCTCGGGTGAGGATAAAAAAAAAAAAGAAAAGAGCATACAATGCAGTAAACAGTCTTTTCAATAAATAGTGTTGGGAAAATTGGACTGATACATGCAAAGAAATGAATCTAGACCACCAACGTATACCATATACAATAATAAACTCAAAATGAATAAAATACTTAAATATAAGTCATGAAACCATAAAAATCCTAGAAGAAAATGTGGGCAGCAAAATTGCAGGCATAACACGAAGTAGAAATTGCACCAATACATTACCTAACACAAGAGAAACATAGGGGGGAATTAATAAATGTGACTAAATCAACTTAAAAAGCTTCTGCAAGGCAAAATAAAACAACATCAAAATAAAAAGAGAACTCACTTTCTAGGAGAACATATTTGCCAATGGTACATTGGATAAGGGGTTAATATCCAAAATATATGGAGTACTCATACAATTCAACAAAAGGAAGACAAACAATTCCGTTACAAACAGGACATATAAATGGCCAGGAGACATATGAAAAATGATCAGCATCTCTAATTATCAGATGCAAAATAAAATGACTGTGAGATATCACCTCACACCTGCCAGAAAGGCTACCATTAAAAAAATCATCAAACAACAGGTGTTGGCGAGGGTGTGGAGAAAAGGGGACCCTAGTACACTGCTGGTGGGAATGTAGACTGGTGCAGCCACTGTGGAAAACAATATAGTGTTTTCTCAAAAAATCAAAAATGGAACTATCATTTGACCCTGTGATCCCACTTCTAGGAATATATCCTAAGAAGCCTGAGACACCAATCAGGAAGAATATATGTACCCCCATGTTCATAGCAGCACTATTTACAATAGTTATGATCTGGAGACAGCTCAAGTGTCCATTAGTAGATGAGTGAATAAAAAAGCTGTGGTACATTTATACAATGGAATACTATGCAGCTATAAAAAGAAAGATCTCTTACCCGTTGAGACAGCATGGAGGGACCTGGAGAGTATTATGCTAAGCAAAAAAAGTCAGTCAGAGATAGGCAAGTCTCACATGAGCTCACTTATTTGTAAAGTATAATTAATAAAATAAGCTGATGAATAAAATAGATTCAGAGACATGGAAGTGGGAAATAGGCTGACAAACCTCAGAGGGAAAAGGCTGTGGGGGAGGCAAGAGATAAACCAAAAAACTGACATGCATATATGCATAACACGTGGACACAGACAACAGTGTGGTGAAGAGAGGATGCAGGAGTGAGGAAGAGGGCGTCAATGGAGGGGAAAACGGAGGGAAATCTGTAACACTTTGAACAATAAAAATAAATTTTAAAAAGGATATGAAAACTATAAAGTATTATTAAAAGACATTGAAAAAGACAAAATTAAATGGAGAGATACTCCGTGTTCATGGATTGGAAGAATGAACATAGTTACAATGGCCATATTGCTCAAAGCAATATACAAATTGAATGCAATCCCCATCAAAATGCCAATGACATTTTTTTTTAAGTTTTTTTTTTTCACTCGAGGACATTTTCCCATTTTTTTATTCTGATAGAGTGGGAGGGAGAGAGAGGAAGAGAGAGAGAAACATCGATGGGAAAAGGACACATTGAGTGGCTGCCACCCGCACAACCCAACCAGGGCCAGGGACAAACTGCAACCAAAATACATGCCCTCAGCGGGGACCAAACCCGGGTCTCTCTGGACCCCAGGCTGACACTCTAACCTCAAACCAACCAGGGGGCCAAACCAACCAGGGTGCCAATGACATTTTTTAAAGAAATAGAATAAAAAAACAATCATCAGATTTGTGTGGAATCACAAAAGAACCCAAAGAGTCAAAGCGATCTGAGAAAAGAGAATGAAGCCAGAGGAATCACACTTCCTGGCTTCAAATTCTACAACAAAATGATAATTAAAACAGCATGGTATTGGCAGAAAAACAGACACACAGACCAATAGAACAGAATTCAGAGTCCCATCCCAAACCCAACATGTACATAGGCAAATAATTTTTGACAAAGGAGCCAAAAATACACAATGGAGAAAAGAAAGCCTCTTCAGAAAATGGTGCAGGTAGAATTGGAAAGCCACCTGCCAAAGAATGAAACTTGACTACAATCTGTCCATATATACAAAAATTTGCTCAATATAAAGACCTAAATATAAGATGTAAAACAATAAATTACATAGAAGAACACATCGGTGCAAAACTTATGGATCTTCTTAGAGAAGATTTTATGAATTTGACACCAAAGGCAAGGGGAGTAAAAGCAAAAAAAAAAAAAAAAAAAATGGGACTGCATCATATTATAAAGCTTCTGTACAGTAATCTTCCAACACAAGAAAAAGACAACCAACCAAATGAAAGATAATTCTGCAAACAATAGCTCCAACAAGGAGTTAATCTCCAAAATATATAGAGAGCTTATACTACTCAATATCAAAAAACAATACAATTTAAAAATGGGCAGAGGACCTTCACAGACACTTGTCCCAAGAAGACATATAAACAGCCAACAGATATATGAAAAGATGTTCAACTTCACTAACTACTAGGGAAATGTAAATCAAAATGACAATGAGATACTACCTCTCACCTCTTGGAAATGCTGTTATCAACAAGAAAAGTAATAACAACTGTTGGAGAGGTTGGAGAGAAAAATGAACCCTCATCCTCTCCTGGGTGGGAATGCAAAGTGGTACCGCACTATGGAAAAACAGTATGGAGGTTCCTCAAAAAACTAAGAACAGAGTTATCACATGACCCAGCAATGCTCTTCTGTGTATCTACCAAAAAATTTTGCAAACATTTATTCTCAAAGTCATATGTATCCCTGTGTTCATTGCAGGATTATTCACAGTGGCCAAGACATGGCAACAACCAAAGTGTCCTGTGATAGAGGATTAAATAAAGAAGATGTGGTACTCAGTGGAATACTGCTCAGTCACAAGACAAGATGAAATACTATTAGTGACAACATGGATGGACCTTGAAAATATCATGCAAAGTGAAAGAAGTCAGGCAGAAAAAATTGAAGAACCATATGACTTTGCTCATGTGGGATATAAAACAAATGAGCAAACAAGAAAAGCAAACAAACAAAAGCTCATAGGTGGGTGGTAGAGGGTAAAGTGGGTCAAATACATGGCGACGGAAGATGATTTGACTTTGGGTGGTGGGCACACAGTGCAATATGAAGATGATGTATCATAGAAATGTACCCTTGAAACCTGTATAGTCTTATTAACCAAGGTAACCCCAATAAATTTAATAAAAATAAACAGCATGTAAAAAATCCCCTAAAGAGGGGGTGGTGGTAGGGGAGAGATAAACCACAGAACTTATATGCATGTATGCATGAACAGTGGACATGGACAACAAACTGGGGAAAGGGCAGGGTGGGGGGGAATCAGTCGGGGGAAAAGGAGAAACATCTGTAACAAAAATTAATTAATAAAAAAAAATTAATAGACCTTAAAGATATAACCACAAACTTCTTTGTTGTTTTTATTTATCTTTTTAAGTAACTACAAAGAAATGTAGAGATTGGGTAAGCTCACTGATCTCATTTTACAGATAAGAAGGGAATTTTTGAGATTTAGCTAACTTAGTAAAACAGGTAGTAGATCGATCCCATTTCATAAACCAGTGTTTTGTGTGTGTTTTCATTATACATCTGACTGGCAGGTGTTGAGATCAAGGATGGTTCTTATAAAGGCATAGTCCAGGGCCTGTGTGAGTCAGAGCAAAGTCACTTAAGGGTGGTCATGGTGCTAGACATTGTGCAGGACATCTCTATCTGAATGAAAGTCCATCTACAGATATTAGAGATATTAGATTTGTCTCCAGATGTTTCTTTAAATCACTAGCTAGCTATTTGGATGGCTTGCGACATTTTTTGGCCCAAGGTAAAGTGAGCTCTTCACAAGTGGACCTAGGGTTGCTCCTTCCCGGCTCTAAGCAAGGACTAGTTTCCAATGTGTGGTTCAGCCTGGGAACAGTTTGGTAAGACACCCAGTGGGTGTCAGTATTCAGCATCCCTCTTTTTCCCCAGTGAAGACTTAGCCCCCTCTAAAGTGCACAGTTCCCTTAGGGTGCCAGTGGTCTAGATGTTCTGAGATGAGGCCTTGGTCCCCAAGCACCTTTCCCCCTTGTCTAATACCACCTCGCCCTCAGAACAGCTGCTGCTGAATAAAACAGGGGCGCCCTGGGCCCATGTGACGCTCTGATCCCTGTCACTCTCTCCCTGTTCACATGTGTGCATTGAGAGTAAACGCCTTCATTGCCTTCTCTTCCACGGTGCAAAAAAGTAAGCCATGAATATGGTGGAAAACAAAACCCCAGGCCAATTTGTTTGCTGTCCTGTTTCAGAGCATAAATATAGCGCTCATCCTCTGTTCCCTCCCTAACTGAACATGTGCAAACTGTACCGAGCAGTGGACACGTTCTGCACACTAGCACGGCTGTGACCATCGGCGCCCTGCCCAGCCCTCTGCAGCTGTGTCCCTTCCTGACACACGTCTGCAGAGCTCGGGACCTGGGAGGATGGGGGTTTCCTTTCCCCGACGCACATCGGACACGTCATTGTGTGCACCTTCATACCCCTCCTGCTTCTCTTTCTTTGCCTTTTTTCTCTGCCTAGATAATTTCTAAACCTTTCCTTTTTGTTTTCCCTATGTGACAGGAAGTGTCATCTAAAGTAATATCTGAAAATATATTTTCTAAAGATTTAGATTCTTTTTTAAATATGATGGTGATTAAGATTTCCTCTTCTTTGTTTTCAGTCTTCCTAAATATCGAAATGAACAACAAATATGAAATTAAGAACAGCCTTGGACAGAAGATTTACCTTGTCATGGAGGATAATAATTTCTGTACCCGAAATTGCTGTGGGTCTAAAAGGCCATTCACCATGAGGATTCTTGATCTTATGGACCAAGAGGTCATAACTCTGGAGAGACCACTGAGGTGTAACTGCTTTTGCTTGTCCTGCTGCCTTCAGGAGGTCAGTGAGCAATTACCCAGGTAATTTGTGAAGTAGTTCAACAAGAATTTTCATCCTTTCTTTGAATCTATATAATTAAATGTGATTATTTTTTAAATGGGTGCATGATCTATTTTTTTATGCTTGACAGTCATTTGGACAGGAAGGATGTCAGGTGAAAAACCCACTTAGCCCCTGGCCCTGAGGAGTTTGTCTCATGGGATGAGCATCCGCTCACAGTCCGACTTCAGGGAGAGCTGAGAAGATAAGGCACCTGGGTCAAGTCCCTCACTTGAAATGACCATGAGAGGCCTGGATAAGACCAGAGGAAGGCACCACAGAGAATATTCTAGAAACAATTCTAGGAGCAAGTAGAGAGAAGAATGCAGAGAAGAACAGTATGTTCATCTCAAAGTTTGGGACAAGCTACTATGAAAGAAACCTAAGAAAGACCTCTTTTAAGAAATCTCAACTCCTGTGTTTAAGTTTCCCATTTTTAAAAAGTAATATATTTGAGTCTCCTGTAATAGGGATATACTAGTTGTGGGTACATTCACCTGTATGAAAACCAGGTACCTATCGTGTATTACTTGTCAGCTCACTGAGATGGAACGTGGATCTCAGGGGAACACCAGGGCCCAGACAGTTTACAGGAAAATCGGCCCTTGCTTGTCTCCCACTGGCCTGAGACCAGCCCTGCCTGGCCAATCATTCAGCAAGGGGCTGTGAGACCAGGAAGCAGACAGGGAGGCACAGGCACATGGTACCTGAGGTCAAAGTCTGCGTTCATTTTCAGAAGATGAGTGAAGCTATTCCTACTGAATTACTTTGTGTTTTGTGTAATTTAGATTAAGTATAACAGTGTCTATCCAGAGGAGTATCTGAGGAAACATTGAGAGTTTGATGGATGTGCTCTAAATGGAAAGAGCACATTAACAAACATGATCCTACTGGTCTTAGAAAACGGGCTAGGAAGATGTCACTTACAATGAGCACCACGGGGTACTCTCTAGGTCTCCCAGCTAATAGCAGAGCCAAGATTCCAGGCCCCACCCAGTTCCTTTCCGCTATAGAACCATCACCACTCATACTTGAAAATCACACCAGTGATCAGGATCCTGTGCACACATCTCAACCACTATTTAAAAGGAGTCTGAGAAAAGAGTTCCTTCATAATTCAGACATGTTTCATAAGGATGGAAATTTAAAAATGTGCAAGGTCAGCGGAGCGTTGCTGAGAGGGGAGTCCGCGCATGCAGAGGGCCAGAGCTTGTGACTCGTCCCTTCCACTTTGCAGCGAGTGAATCTGATACCAGTCAGTTAACTCTCTGTTCTTCAGCTACTTTTTTTATAAATAGAGATAATAGGACCAACCTTGTATGTTTTTATTGTCAGTTAATATTGCACAGAACAGTATCTGTACTTAGAAGTGGGCAATGTGCTAGATAAACATTTTTTCAAAAGATGTTTTACAAATGGCCCATAGATATATGAAAAGGTGTTCAACATAATTAATCATTAGGAAAATTATAATCAAAACCAAAATGAGATATCACATTATACCTGTTTAAATGGCTGTTATCCAAAACCATACAACATAATTTGTCAAGGGTGTGGAGAAAGGGGAACAATCATACACTGTTGGTGGGAATATAAATTGTTACAGCCATTATGGAAAACAGCATATGATCCAGGAATCCCACTTGTAGGTATGTATGCAAAGGAAATGAGATCAGATTTTCAAAAGATATCTACATTCCTATGTTAATTGCAGATTTATTTACAATAACCAAAATATGGAAACAATCTAAGTATTGGTTGATGGATAAATGGATAGAAAAATATCATATAAATATAGATAAAGATATATAGACATATATATATAGACATATATACACAATGGGGTATTATGCACTCAAGTAAAAGAAGAAAACCCTGCCATTGAGACAATGTGGATGCACCTAGAGAGCACTCTGGTGAGTGAAATAGGTCAGACAAGAACAGACAAATGCAATAAGGTATTACTTACATTTGGAATTTTTTTTAAAAATCTTACTAATAGAAACAGAGATCTGAATAATGGTTGCCAGGGACTGGGGAGGAGAGGATAGGGAAACGTTGGTCAAACTGCAGCAACTTTTAATTATAAGATGAATAAGTTCTGAAGATCAAATGTACAGCATGGTGACTATAGTCAGTACTACAATGCGGGCTGCTTGAAATTTGCTGAGAGTAGATCTCAAGCATCACTGCACGAGGTGACAGACGTGTGAACTCACTTGATTGTGGTGATCCTTTCACAGTGGATGTGCACATCAAATCATCACACTGGGAAAGGTAACTGAGGAAAGAGGGCGGTGGGCAGGACCAGAGGGAGGGTGTGAGTGTGTGAGAGAGTGAATTAGTGTGTGAGAGAGTGTGAGTGGACGTGAAGGTGGATGACCAAACCCGAGCAGTGCAGAGACGCAGAGCAGACGGTCCCTGTGCTGTGGATGGAGCAGCCGGCTACCGTGGTAAGCGGCTCTCCAGGGCGCTTCTCCCTACACCGCAGGGAGGTCCCACCATTTTGAAAGATCCAGGTCTTCCCTGGGAGGAGGCAGTGGGAGTGGCTAGGGCCCAGCAACCTGAGCCCACTAGTGACCTGGCACCATCGGACAAGTGGACACTCTGTGTCAACACAGACCAGTGCACAGTAATGGAGCTTCCAAGGTGCTGGTTGCAGAAGCCACAGACAGCCAGGGGCCCAGCACCATCCCCTACAGTAGCAGCCCGATCAAAGTCAAGATATACCCCCAGCAATAGAGGCTGGGGAGCAGACATCCATCTCCAGGCAACAGAAGCACAGACCAGCAGCTGAGACCCATTTTCAAAAACTACAGCAAAGGCTGAGCAGGAGATGAACCCCACAAGGCAGCAGCACTCCTCAGCCACCAGCTGCGGGGCCTGGGGCTCCACAGAGTCCTGTGCGACCCAGCATCCCACAAGACTGGTGGGAAGCCTGGGCCTGAGAGGGACCAGTGCAATCCAGCTGCCTGTGGAACCTGCAGGGTGCTGGGGCACCAGAAAGTCCTGTGTGACCCAGCAGCCCACAAGATCAGTGGGAAGACAAGGCCTGAAAGGGACTAGTGCAATCCAGCTGCAAACCCACAGGACCTGCAGGGTGCAAGGGCACCAGAGAGGCCTGTGCAACCCAGCAGCCCACAAGATAAGCATACAGCCAGGTCTCCAAAGAGACTGTAATCCAGTTACCTGCAGGACCTGCGGGGTGCTGAGGCAGCAGAGAGGCCTGTGCGACCGAGATACCCACAAGATGGGAATAGAGCCTGACTTCCAAAGGGACTGTGCAATCCAGCTGCCCATGGTATGGGCAGAAAGTGTGGCTCCAACAGGGCCTGAGCTATACAGCTACAGGTGACACCAGCTACCAGCTGGGAACACAGCTCCAGAGGGGCCCACGTGATCCAGCAGCAGCACCTACCAGGACACACCAATACCAGCCCACAGTACTTAACCCTCCAGGATCCACAGCAGGCAAGAGGTGACATGCAACAGAACAGTCTGGGAGGCACAGCAGCATTATTTGATATACATTGAGTTGCATACATATCCACACATCCCTCAACAGGTCTAGAGCCACCAGACGGCTAAAATGGGAAGACAAAGAAACAACACTCAAAGGAAAGAAAAAGAGGAATCACCAGAAAAGGAACTACGGGAAATGGAAGACAGCAACTTGTTAGATAAAGAATTCAAAGCAATGATTTTAAGGGTACTCAAACAATTTGATGAGAACTACAAGTAATTTAATAAGAATTATAAAGAGCTCACTGAGAACTACTTCAGCTTAAAAAAAGAGGAAGAAGCTATGCATAAATCAAGAGGAAATAAAGAATGACATAGCTGTTATGAAAAATACCTTGGAAGGGTTCAATAGTAGATTAGAAGAAGCTGAAGACCGAATCAGCAATTTAGAAGACAAGGTAGAGAAAAACACTCAAATAAAGCAGCAAATAGAAAAAAAAAATTAAAAAGCAGGAGGAAAGTTTAAGGGAGCTTTTGGACAATACAAAACATAACAACATTTGCATTATAGGGGTACCAGAAGGAGAAGAATCAGAAAAAGGAATAGAGAACCAGTTTGAAGAAATAATAACAGAAAACTTTTCTAAACTGGTGAAGGAAAAAGTCACACAAGTCCAGGAAACACAGAGAGTTCCAAGCAAGATGAACCCCAGAAGACCCACAGCTCGACACATCATAATAAAAACGGCAAACATTAAAGACAAAGAAAGAATCTTAAAGGAAGAAAGAGAGAGACAGAAATTTACCTACAACGGAGCTCCCATTAGACTGTAAGCTGATTTCTCAAAAACGCTGCAGCCCAGAAGGGAGTGGCAGGAAGTATACAAAATAATGAAAGGCAAGCGTCTGAATCCACGAACTACTCTGTCCAGCAAGGCTATCATTCAAAAGTGAAGAAGAAATAAAGACCTTCACAAATTTAAAAAAAAAAAGCTAAAGGAATTTACCACCACCAAACGAGCACTGCAAGAAATGCTGAAGGGACTGTTGTAAGAAGAAGAAAGAGAGAGAGAGAGAGAGAGAGAGAGAGAAACACAGGCAAAAAAAAAAAAAAAAAAATGTCAACTAATAATTATCTATCAATAATAACCTTAAATGTAAATGGCTCAAATGCACCAATAAAAAGACATAGGGTAGTTGATTGGATAAGAAAACACCACCCATATATATGCTGTCTACAAGAGACACGCCTCACAACAAATGACTCACACAGGTTGAAAGTGAAGCAATGGAAAAAATTTTCCAAGCAAATGGAAATGAAAAAAAGTTGGTGTAGCAATTCTTATATCTGACAAGATAGACTTCAAAACAAGGGCCATAATAAGAGACAAAGAAGGTCACTACATAATATTAAATAGAGCAATCCAACAAGAGAATATAACTCTGGTAAACATATATGCACCAAATACTGTAACACCAAAATATATTTAAAAAATTCTGGAGGATTTTAAGGGAGAGAACAATAGCAAAACAATCATAGTGGGTGACTTTAACATGCCACTGACACCACTGGATAGATCTTTTAGACAAAAAATTAACAAGGACATAAAGTCCTTACAAGACAAACTAGATCACTTGGACTTAATTGATATTTACAGAATATTTTACCCCAAGTCTGCAGAATATACATTCTTCTCAAGTGCACATGGGTCATTCTCAAAGATAGACCACATGTTAGGACACAAGGCAAGTCTCTACAAATTCAAGAAAATTGAAATCATATCAAGCATCTTCTCAGATCACAGTGGCATAAAAATTGAACTCAATTACAATAAAAACACACAAAAACATTAAAACACTTGGAGGCTAAATAGCATGTTATTAAACAATGAATGGGTTACTAATGAGATCAAGGAAAAAATTAAAAACTTCCTGGAAACCAATGAAAACCAACACAACAACACAATATGTATGAGACACAACGAAAGCAGTCCTGAGAGGAAAGTTCATAGCACTACAGGCCTACCTCAAGACACAAGAAAAATTCCTAATTGAATTTCTAACCCTACAACCTAAAGAACTAGAAAGAAAAATAAAAGAAAATCGCAGGGCTAGTAGGAGGAAGGAAATAGTAAAGGTCAGAGCAGAAATAAATGTCATAGAGACTAAAGAAAACAATTCAAAAGATCAATGAAACAAAAAGCTGGTTCTTTGAAAAGATAAACAAGATTGATGGCCCTTTAGCCAGACTCACCAAGAAACAAAAAGAGAGAAACCAAATAAACAAAATCAGAAATGAAAGAGGAGAAGTAACAACTGACACCACAGAAATGCAAAGGATCATCAAAACATGCTATGAACACTTATATTCCAACAAATTGGATAACATAGTAAAAATGGGAAAATTTCCAGAAGCACACAGCCTCCCAAAACTGAACCAGGAAGAGATAGAAAACTTGAACAGACCAATAATAACGAAGGAAATTGAAGATGTAATCAAGAAACTCCCAGCAAACAAAAGCTCAGGCTAAGATGGCTTCACGGGGGAGTTTTACCTAACATTCAAATCTAAAACCCATTCTCCTCAAACTATTGCAAAAAATCCAAGAAGATGGAACACTTCCAAACTCATTTTATGAAGCCAACATAATCTTAATTCTAAAACCGGATAAAGACACTACAAAGAAAGAAAACTACAGGCCAATATTCCTGATGAACACAGATGCCAAAATACTTAACAAAATATTAGCAAATCAGATCCAACAATACATCAAATAAATTATTCATCATGACCAAGTGGGTTTCTTCCCAGGCATGCAAGGATGGTACAATATTCGCAAATCAATAAATGTGATGCACCACATAAACAAAAGGAAAGATAAAAACCATATAATTATATCAATAGATGCTGAAAAAGCATCAGACAAAATCCAGCATCCATTTCTGATAAAAAACACTCAGCAATGTGGCAATGGAGGGATCATATCTCAACATAATAAAGGCCATATATGAAAAACCTACAGCCAACATCATACTCAATGGGTAAAAACCAAAAGCATTCCCCTAAAGAATGGAAACAAGACAAGGATGCCTACTTTCACCACTCTTATTTAACATAGTACTGGAAGTCTAAGCCACAGCCATTAGACATGAAGAAAAAATAAAGGGGATCCAAATTGGAAAGGAGGAAGTGAAACTCATTATTTGCAGATGACATGATATTGTACATAGAAAACCCTAAAGATTCCATCAAAAATCTCCTAGACTTAATAAATGAATTTGGCAATGTAGCAGAATACAAAATTAATGTCAAGAAATCGACAGCATTCTTATACACCAATGATGAAATCACAGAAAGAAAAACTAAAAAGTCAATCCCATTTACCATCACAGCAAAAAATAAATTAAGATACCTAGGAATAAACTTAACCAAAGAAATAAAGATTCACAGAAAACTGCAGATCATTGAAAAAATAAATAGAGGAAGATATAAAAAAGTGGAAGCACATAACTTGTTCATGAATTGGAATAATTAACATCATTTAAATGTCAATACTACCCAAAGCAATCTATAGATTCAATGCAATTCCCATCAAAATTCCAATGACATACTTCACAGAATTAGAACAAATACTTCAAAGGCTCATATGGAACCAAAAAAGACCCCGAATATACACAGCAACCTAAGAGGAAGGACAAAGCTGGAAGGATCACATTACCAGATTTCAGATTATACTACAAAGCCACTTTAATCAAAACAGCATGGTACAGGCACAAGAACAGGCATATACATCAATGGAACAGAATAGAGAACCCAGAAATAGACCCAAGACAATATTCTCAGTTAATATTTGACAAAGGTGGCAAGAACATACAGTGGAGTCAAGACAGTTTCTTCATTAAATGGTGTTGGAAAAATTGGACAGGTACCTGCAAAAAAATGAAGCTAAAACACCAACTTACACCATACTGATAGTAAACTCAAAATGGATAAAAGACTTAAATGTAACTTGTGAATCCATAAAAATTCTAGAAGAAACTGTAGGCAACAAAATCTCAGACATTATACACAGCAGAATTTTCACTGATACAACACCTAAGGCAAGAGAAACAAAGGAAAAAATGAGCACATAGGACTACATCAAACTAAAAAGCTTCTGCACAACAAAAGTAACAGCCATCAAAATGGAAAGGGATTCCACTATACGGGAGACCATAGTCACCAATGATGCATCGAATAAGGGGTTAATTTCCAATTTATATAGAACGCTCATACAACTCAACAAAAGGAAGACAAAGAACCCAATTAAAAACAGGCAGAGGACCTAAATTGACACCTCTCCAAAAAGGGCATACAAATGGCCAAGGGACATATGAAGAAATGCTCAACATCACTAATCATCAGAGAGATGCAAATTAAAACAACTATAAGGTACCACCTCACACCTGTCAGAATGGCCGCCATCAACATATCATCAAAAACAAGTGTTGGCAAGGGTGTGGAGAAAAGGAGACTCTAGTACACTGCTGGTAGGAATGCAGACCGGTGCAGCCACTGTGGAAAACAATATGGTGTTACCTCAAAAAGTTAGAAATTGAACTTCCATTTGACCCAGTGATCCCATTTCTAGGAATATATGCTAAGAAACCTGAAACAACAATCAGAACGAATATATGTATCCTTATGTTCATACCAACACTATTTACAATAGCTAAGATCTGGAAACAACCCAAGTGTCCATCGGTAGATGAGTGGATTAAAAAGCTGTGGTACATGTACACAATGGAGTACTATGCAGCTGTAAGAAAGAAAGATCTCTTATCCGTTGAGATGGCATGGAAGGACCTGGAGAGTATTATGCTAAGCAAAACAAGTCAAGCAGAGAAAGACAAATATCACATGATCTTATTTATTTGTGGAATATAATGAATTAAACAAACTGCTGCCATGGCTGGTTTGGCTCATCAGTTAGATCGTTGGCCTGTGGTCCAGAGAGACCTGGGTTTGGTTTCCGCTAAGGGCATGTACATTAGTTGCAGTTTGTCCCTGGCCCTGGATGGGTCGTGCAGGTGGCAGCCACTCAATGTGTCCCTTTCACATCAATGTTTTTCTCTCTCTCTTCCTCTCTCTCCCTCCTGCTCTATCTGAATAAAAAATGGAAAAATGTCCTCAGGTGAGGATTAAAAAAAAAAAATTGAAGAAAAAAAACAAAAATCTGCTGAACAAAATTAACCCAGAGACGTGAAGGTAGGGTACAGACTGACAAGCCTCAGAGGAAGGGACGATTGTTTGTAGGGGAAGAGATAAACCACAGAACTTACATGCTTGTATGCATGACCAATGAACATAGACAACAAAGCTGGGCATGAGGTCTGGGGGAAGGGGAGGAGGGTGTTAATGGGGGGACAATGAGAAACATCTGTAATAAAAACAAATTAATAAATAAAAAAACCCAGAAGGGTAATTGCTTTCAGGTAGGTATGCTTCCCAAGAAAACACAAAATAAATTAACTAGTATTTGTATTATATGTTTTCTTCCAAAAGTACTGTGGGCTTTAGGATTTCTTTCTGTTTCCGTTATCAAAGTAATTTTATGGAAAAATAAAAAATGCTTGACATAAAAAAATCATCACATTGTACACTTCAAATATATTACAATTACACTTGTAAATTATATCTCAAAAAAGCTGGAATATTTCCCATTAATTAAAAAGCACTCAGTAAATGAGGACTCTCATTAGACATTAAAGTAACAATGACTATGACGATGAGGCTGACAATGGTTATGTATTACATATGTACTTTTGCTTTTGCAGATAAAAGTTTGCGCTCCTCCTGGTACACCAATAGGTTATGTTACTCAAACCAAGCACCTATATCTGCCTACATTTACAATTCAAAACGAGAACAAAAAGGATATACTAAAAATTATTGGTCCATTTCTTTCATGCAAATGTTGTGGAGATATTAATTTTGAGGTAAGAGATGTGACAATTTTTATAGAATTTGTTTTCCAAATATAAGAAAAATGTGATTTTGTAAGATGCTACAAATATATTAAATAAATATGTGTATCCTAATATCTCAAGAGGGAGACAATGTGCTTATATATGTAACTTTGGTCAGAAAGGAAGTTACTAATCTCATTGGGCTACCGTGTATATTATACTAAATAGAAAAAAGAAAAGCAGAGCTTGCAGTCAAATAAATATAAGCAAAACAATTAATATGTAAACTTGATGCTGGTGTGGCTCAGTGGTTGAGCGTTGTCTCATGCACCAAGAGGTTGCTGGTTCAATTCCTGGTCAGGGCACATGCCCAGGTTGTGGGCCCGATCCCCAGTGGGGGGCCTGCAGGAGGCGGCCAATCGATGTTCACTCTCATCGATGTTTCTCTCTCTCTCTCTCCCTCTCCCTTCCTCTCTCTCTAAAGTCAATAAAGGAAAACAAAATTTTAACGTGGTAGTTTTTTACGACATGAAACAGTTTCATTACAGCAGTTTTCCAACAGATGGTCTAACCTTAAACTCAAATAATTTAGTGGCAAATGTTTAAAAACAATAACATTTTATAAGGTACTCTTGATATAATAATATTATGATTCTCTTAGAAATGATAAAATCTGTTAAACTGGTTCCACACTTCCATAGAAGGAGCAAACTCTCCTACAACTGAGCGGGGCTGTCCCCTTATAATAGGACATGGAACTCCGCCCCTTTCCAGTTTCCTCAGGTCTCCCACCGCCCCCTTCATTTCTTTATATTACCTGACTTCCTTAGCTATAGGATTTTCCTTTCCTTCTTCAGACCCTGGTTATATAAAGATGAAGTATTTTCTTCATGAACTTAATAGACTCATGACAGAGACAGACAATTCTAAGAAAACACATAAATGCAGAGTATTTATAAAGGCTATTTTATTTTATCCTCACCTGAGGACTTTTTTGCATTTATCTTCAGATAGAGCGGGAGGGAGAAAGAGAGGAAGAGAGAGAGAGAAACATTGACATGAGAGAGACACATCGACTGGTTGCCACCGACACAACCCCAACCAGGGCCGGGATAAACTGCAACCGAGGTACGTGCCCTTAGCGGACACCGAACCCGGGACTCTCCGGTCTGTGGGCCGATGCTCTAACCACTGAGCAAAACTGGCCAGGGCTAAAAGGGCTCTTTTAGAGGAATATGTATAATGTGTATGTTTGTGTATGGGTGTATAGAATATGTATGTATAAGAACTTTATATATAGGTATATATAATCATAGTTCCTCACGCAGGGTATGGCATATTTATCAAGGATTCAGAAGAGTGGAGGGATAATTATTCATTCAGGGAATAATATTAACAGTTTAGCTGGCATGTATTTATTTGGAAGAAAAAGGCAAAAACTAACAAATTAAAAAAATATATTATATTTAATGTTAAGGGATTTAGATTTTATCCAGCAAACCTCTCAATATAATCTTTATATGCAATAAATTAACTATTCTTCTATACATCTATAAAGATGCTAATTAGGTACCATATTTCAGAGTATTGAGAAATGGTGATTTCAATCAATGTTTTTATATCAGACAAAATTGATATTTTGTTTCTTTTTAACTTCATTTTCATTGTTGACACTATTATGGATGTCTTCATTTCCCCTTCTTTGCCTACCTCTACCCAGCCCCTACACAGGTGATTTTTTTAGGGAGTCAGAGGCCAGTGGTCAGTGAGCACAGCCAGTCCTTGCAAATATCAGCCTGAGTAAGTCCCTCCCATTGACGTGCCAACAACAATCAAGACACAATTACAACAGAAGGGTGTACAGTCCACACTAGGGGTGCACCTTGAAAGCCCAGCTGGAGTAATCAGGGAGGCTGTGCCACTAGATCCCACAGGACACCGACAAAAATAGGCCACCCTACAAAGCCTAGGAGACATAGCAGCTCTACCTAATACATAGAAACAATCACAGGAAAGCAGCCAAAATGAAGAGACAAAGAAACATGTCCCAAATGAAAAAAAGAACAAAACTCCAGGAAAAGAATTAAACAAAATGGAGATAAGCAATCAATCAGATGCAGAGTTCAAAACACAGGTTATACGGTTGCTCAAGGAACTTGGTGAGACATTCAAGGAACTTAGTAAGACCTACAAGAAACTTAGTGAAAACATCAACAACATAAAAAAGGACCAGTCAGAAATGAAGGATGCACTAATTGAAATAAAGAATAATTTACAGGGAATCAATAGAAGAGTAGGTAAAGCCAAGAAGCAAACCATCGATTTGGAATACAAGGAAGCAAAAAACACCCAATCAGAACAGCAAAAAGAAAAAAGAATCCAAACAAATGAGGATAGTGTAAGGAGCCTCTGGGACTGTTCAAGCATGCCTATATTCATATCATAGAGGTGCCAGAAGGAGAAGAAAGAGAACAAGAAATAAAAAACCTATTTGAAACAATAATGACAGAAAACTTGCCTAACTTGGTGAAGGAAACAGACATACAAGTCTAGGAAGCACAGAGAGTTCCAAACAAGATGAACCCCAAGAAGCCCACACCAAGATGCATCATCATCAAAACGCCAAAGGTTAAATACAGAGAGAGAATCTTAAAAGCTGCAAGAGAAAAGCAGTTTGTTTTCTACAAAGGAGCTTCCATAAGACTGTCAGTTGATATCTCAAAAGAAAATTTGCAGGCCACAAAGGAGTGGCAAGAGATATTCAAGGTGATGAAAAGCAACGACCTACAACCAAGATTACTCTACCTGCAAAGCTATTATTTAGAATCAATGGACACATCAAGAGTTTCCCAGATAAGAAAAAACTAAAATAGTTTCACCACCAAACCAGTATTATGTGAAATGTTGAAGGATCTTCTTGAAGAAGAAGAACAAAAATATGAACAATAAAATGGCAATTAATACATATCTATCAACAATTGAATCTGCAAACAAAATGAGCAAGCAGAACAGAAACAGATGCATAGATACTGAGAACTTTTTATTGCTTGCCAGATGAGTGTGGCTGGGGGGATGGGTGAAAAAGATGAAGGAATTAAGAAGTACAAAGTGGTTGTTAGACTAATGGACCTCAAAGGGAAGGGTGGAGGGAGGGCAGGATGAGATAAACTAAAGAACTTCTATGCACATATGCATAAACAATGGACACCAACCATAGTGTGGGGAAGGCTGGAGGGGTCGGGATTGGGGAGGAGGGGTCAATGGGAAGAAAAAGGGGGGCATCTGCAATACCTTCAACAATAAAGATGAGTTTTAAAAAGAGATAAATGACATAATGTTGCTGACTTGATGCCATGGACTCTCAGATTCAGAAAGTACAAGGGGTTCTGGGTGAGAAAAAAAATCAACACCTAAATATAGCTTAGGTAAATTAGAAACTTCAAATTAAAAAGAAAATCTGAAATATACAAGTGGGGGGGTTCTGATTATGATAGTGGCATAAGTAATCATGGGACCTGAATCCTCCCACAACCATATCAAAATTACAACTAAACTAGAGAAAAGCCATTATTCTGAACCACCTGAAATCTAGCTGAACAGATGTCCTACAACTAAAGATATAAAGAAGAAGCCACATTGAGACTGCAGAGAATTAGAACAGACTGGTGTCACACCCATGTGTGGTGAATAAAAATCTGGAGGAATACCTCGAAAGTAGAGGTCCCCCTGAGGACCTGAGCCCAGGGTTCCAGTGCCAGGAAGAGAAGTCCCCATAACTTCTGGCTGTGAAAACCTTTGGGGATTGTGACTAAGTGAGATGGAGGTCCTTTGGAGTCCCAGATGTTTCTCTTAAAGAGCCCACATACAGACTTAATCAGAGTGAGCTCCAGTGCTGGGGAACCAGGGACATATGGTGAGGAACTGAGTTTTCTTGCATAAGGATGAGAACTGCAGGGGCAGCTTTCTCCCAGACACAGTGTTAACAGAGGCCATTGTTCCTTTTCTGAACTCTACCCACACGAAGCCAGCAGGCAGGTACCATATCTGACTCCATCAACCTGGATAACATTGTTTACCCTACTCTGATGATTTTCTGAGACCCCATCTAACTCAATTTGTGGGCCTAACCCAAGTCATTTCCAGTAGGTTTTCCATACAAATAGCCTGTCTTGGCTAATGCTTTGGACTTTACTAAAATCTCTCAAACAAGGAGCACCTGCCCTCAGCATGCCCTGTACCTCTCACTAAGTGGCCCTAGGCCTGATATTAGCAGCAGCCAGGCTTGGTTCACATAATGGCCTTTCCTGGACACCTCCAGGCCCAACACAAGTGGCAGCCATCTGCAGATCACTTTGTAGCTCATTTCCGGTGGTCCTGGGCAAGGCAAAGATAGTGACTGAACTTGGCCTGCGCCTCCTGGGAAGCTTCAGAATGGATACACCCAGTGGACAACTTCAGACCACTTTGAAACACCGCAGAAACAATTCCATAAGTGACACACTCAAGGGACAGACTCAGCAGGCACTGGAGCCCCGCAAATTAAGTTCAGCTCTGTGAGGTGGGTCTTTGCACAACTGATCCTCCATTTTGATCACAGCCAGTCCTTGAAGCTGATTGGCCTGGGGATAAATTCTTCCCACTGATGTGCAAACAGCAATCAAGGCTCAAACACAACAAAAGGCTATACACAACCACATGGGGGCACACATGGAGTGCCCAACTTAAGTTATCAGGGAGGCTCTGCTACTAGACCTTACAGAACACCTGCTCCATAAGACCACTCAGCGAAGCCCAGGAGACATAGCAGCTCTACCTAATACATAGAAACAAACACAAGAAGGCAGGGAAAATGAAGATACAAAGAAATATGCCTCAACTGAAAGAACATAACAAAATTCCAGAAAAAGAACCAAAATTGGAAATAGCAATCTATGAAATGCAGAGTTCAAAAACATAGGTTATAAGGATGCTCAATGAACTTAGGAGAAGAGTAGATGAACTTAGTGAGAATGTCAACAAAGATAAGAAAA